AGGTTGCCCAGAGAGGTTGTGGAGTCTCCTTCTCTGGAGATCTTCCGACCCGCTTGGACACAGTCCTGTGCCACGTGCTCTAGGTGACCTTGCGTGTGCAGGGGGGTTGGACTAGATGATCTCTAGAGGTCCCTTCCAACCTTTATGATTCTGTGATTCTGTGAAATTCGTGCTTCTCAGCAGTAACATCACAAGTGGCTGCGCTTGGTCTTGCATCCTTGCAGATTCAATAGGGCCGTTTGCGCAGCAACAGGCTAGAGGAGCAGCAGCGTGTGCCTCAGCTGAGGGGCAGCAGCTACTGAGAGCCCCCTAATTCTGCACTTTGGGCTGTCCACATGTGCCATCCAGCCCCCTTTGCTGCTGCAGGGGGACGTGATACGTGCCAGAGCTGTGCAAGGGGGACAGAGCAAACCGTGCGCTTGAGGACAGAAGAAGGAGGGCTGCAAAAAGCACAGTGTTTTCAACAGCTACTAAATCAGTTCAGCTGCTTCCTTGGCCCATCTCGCGCCCCTACTCCTGGGGCCTGTGGAGCTGGCTGCCCTGCTGGAGTGACTAAGTGCTGGACAAGCTGATCCCAGGGGATGGAAGGGCTTGCAGGGAGGTGCCTGGGCGTGCACGGAGCGTCCAGGCCTCTGGGAATGGGTGGCGGGTTTGCACTGAGCTCAGGCCTGTGGAATGAAGATGCTCTGCAGTGCCGGCGTGCGCAGGGAAATTGGCAGACTAAAACAAGGGGAGAGTGTGCGTGGAGCTGATGGCCTCTGCGTGCTGAGCTTCCCTCTCCTCCTGCCCTGCTTGCTTCCTCCTGCAGCTGTGTCAGCCCCATCTTCAATGTCGTAAGTCATTGTGCAAGAGCTCTGTTCTAAGCCTGGGATTTGAGCTCGTCTGTGCCGGGGCTGGCTCAATTCCTTCTCCACAAAAGCACCTTCCTGCTTTAACACGGTCTGTTGTCGTGCAGGCTGCCCTGTGACACTCTCCTGTTTCCCCACAGCCATCGTGGACATTGTGCTGTCCCAGTCCTGCGGCGTGATCCTCGTCGGAGACCCTCACCAGCAGATCTACACCTTCCGAGGGGCTGTCAACACCCTCTATATGGTGCCTCACACCCACATCTACTATCTCACCCAGGTAAGACCCTGGTGCAAGATCTCACACAGCTGCACCGGGAGAAAGTTCTATGCCAGGGCCCCACACAGCTCCAGAAGCAATGGATCCTTTACACCCAGGAAAGATGCCAGGCCTTGAAATAAAACTGCACGGATTAAAGAAGACATCTCTGCTGGCTCTACGGGTGGCCATGACCTTGTCCCCTGGTTCTGTGCACACCAGGGCCTCGCTAGCTTTGTCCCCAGCAGCCTTTAGACTGTGACCCCTCGTGCAGTGTTTGCCAAAGGCAGGGTTTTGGGAGCCACTCTGCCTGGTCTAAGGTTGCCCTCAAGGGCAGCTGCTGTTCCTGTCTCAGAACGAATGATACTTGTGTTTCCGGGTTGATTATCAAACTGGCTGTTGCAGCTGAAAAATCACCCTGATTAGGATTTTTTTTTGACCTCTGGCCCCACAGTCCTATAATTAATGTGTATAATCACAGCTAGCATAAGGGGAGGGACTGTTTTTTGGGAATGCATGCCCAAGGATTAATCAGCTTGAGCCAAAAGTGAAAGTGTTTTTAGGTCCTAATGGCACTAAGGCCCTAAGCCAGAACTGCCAGCAAAAAAAACATCCATCTCAGATGCCTTTTGCTACTCGGGCCATAGGGCCCAGGGATAGATCCGTAGGAATGGGGCCTGGCTTTATTTTTGGTAGCACATCTCATTACAGGCTTGGGACCTGCTTGATATCACTTTGCTCGTGGACTTCTGAGCCCTTTTTTGGATAACAAGAGCCTCCCCCCAGTAGATCTTCTCATCAAAACACCAAAAATGCACTTAGGGCTTCCACCCCGAGACGCTCGGACCGTTGGCACTGGATCTCCGGGATAGGGAAGCACAGGGATCAGCTGCCAGCCCTGCCCTGCAGCTCTGTTTTGCCTTGTGTGATGGTCCATCTCCCAGCACAGCTCCCATGGCCTTGGATGCAAACATGACCAAGGATTCTGGGAATGGTTTTCTGAGGATTTGCGTGCTTTTTCTAAGAGAAAGATTGCCAGGAAGGTTGGTGTGAATTGTACAATTTCAGTATAGTAAAACTTTGGCAGATTATAACAAGTTCCTGCTGTTGTCTTGCTTTCCTTTCCTGCTCTTTTCCACGCAGAGTTTCAGATTTGGTCCTGAAATAGCTTACGTGGGAGCAACCATCCTGGATGTCTGCAAAAGGATCAGGAATAAGACGCTGGTGGGAGGAAACCAGGAAGGTAAGTTGGATCTGGGCACCACTTAGCACCTTCAGCTCTGCTCAGGGACTAGGAACCCAAGAGCTACTGCATAATACACAGTGTTTGGGGTTTAATCCTGCTTTGTGAGGATCTTTGGTTTTCCTGTAGCTGTCTTCTTTGCTGCACTAACTGGGAATTAATGTCTGTGTGCAGGTGATGTGAGAGGCAGCGTGGAAGGGAAGATAGCAATCTTATCACGAAGCAACTTCAGTGTATTTGAGGATGCTGTGAGACTTACTGGTAGAGAAAGACCTATAAAAATACATGTCATCGGGGTAAGTTGAAGCTGCTGATGTGTCACTCACGTCCCCAACTTGAGGCCGGGTAGCACTTGCCTTTTGCTACCAGCAGCACTCAGTGCTCCCACATTAGAATAAAAATCAGCTGTAATTGCAAGATGGGTGTAAACACCCTCCCCTCTCTCCTGCTGACAGGATTGGGGATTTTTTTTTCAGAAAAGCATGTGCATAAGTGCAGTTCGTGTGCTTAAATTGTGGGGACACTTTAATAATGCTTCCCACATTTCCAAAGCCTCAGGAGAATCTGTAGTCTTCAAACTCCAAAAAATGGATAGCTGGAATTTGGAGGCGTTCTTGGTTTGCAATGAGAGATGCAGAAGTGCAGACAGACTGAGTGACTGTCCTGGTACAGCACGTGTTTGGGGAAGAGCCCAGTCTTTTGAGTTTTAGGTTGACATTTTAAGTTCTAAATCTTTTGTTTTTGTTTTTTTGCCTGTGAAGCTGCCCATCAGAACAGAGGGAATGCTTGGGTTCCTTATTCAGGAGGAAAATCATGCCTGTCTTTGCAGTTTGAAATGAGAAGTGTAAACATGGGCTGTGACCTTTTTTTTGAGAAAACAAACTGAATTTGGAAACATGGAGCAAAAAAACCCTATTTTGCTTTACTCCATCATTTTTCTTTTCCTTCCTGAAAGTAAATAATGGCAAAACAAAACATTTTGTTCCAGTATATATTGAACTCAAAGCATTTACAGCTGGTTCAGCATGTTTCTTCCCATTGCAGTGGCCCTGTTTCCTGGGAACAGAAAGCAGAACATTATGAGAGTCAGATGGGTCTGGAGCTGTCTGTGCTGCAGGACATTATGGGGACATTTACTGACCGACCAAATTCCTCAGCTCATTGCAATGAACCAGAGTGCAGCTGCTTGAAACTAAAATGACCAAATTTTGGTTTTGGAGCCTTTTGCAGCCCTGACAAGCTGCCTTTATTTGTTCCCAGATGACACCAACAACCATTGGACATAGTGAGATTATTTATGAACTGAGACGCGTTAAGATATTTGCTCTTTGTTTTAGGGGCTTGCCCGTTTTGGCCTTGGCAAAATTCATGATATTTGGAAGCTCTCTCGGCCTATAGAAGAACGGGAAAGATGTGAGTATGTTCTCAGCCTCCTCTCTGCAGTCCTCCCTGCAGCAGCACAAATGCTTTAGGTCCTGCTGTGGCAATGGAAAGCAAAAGGATCCACAATATTTTATTTTATTTTATTTTATTTTATTTTATTTTATTTTATTTTATGTTACATTTGCACCAGTATAGAAGTTCTCACACAGGTATCACTTGCAAACTGACTTTAAAATAATAGTGTCCAACATCCTAGTGCTGTTTCAGCCACGTAGCCCATTCCAGCTTCCCTCTGAGAGGCCATATTTGGGGTAAGAACCCGATATGTTGGGATTTTTTTCCCCTATCCGATATGATTTCATTTTTTTCATCTGTCGTAAGACTTCTGCAGTGGAATGTGTATTTAAAAAATAAAGAAAAAAAAGGAAAACAAGAGGCAAATGGAGAGGTCATGTGAGGTGTCCTTATGCTGTGGCATCAGTAGCAAGGATTGGTGTAAGGGGACACAAAAGTTATTGAACTGCCCTGAGTGCCTGATGATTTGGATGTTGTTACTGGGCTTTTTCCTAAGAGTTTGAACTCTTAGGAAAACTTCTCAGCATCTTAGTAGGAGCCTGGAATAACGCAGGTTGGAGATCCCTGGTCCACAGTACAGCTTGGAGGATGCATCAGGTTGCTCCGAATCCGAGGTGCTTTTTAAATCAATTCCTGTTATCTGCTGCTTTTTCCTTTTTTCCTCAGTAAACCTTGTTATAAACGACCCCTTTATCAAAAAATGGGAGGAGACACAGGGCTTCATCGGCCTGAGGGAATACGCAGAGCACATCGATGACAAAGAGCTGCAAGTGAAGATTGCAATAGTGGAGAAATACAAGGAGCAGCTCCCGGAGCTGGTGCGGAGGATCCAGAGCAGCCACGTGTCCACAGAAGCCCTGGCAGGTAGAGCCACATCGGGTCTCTTAGAAGAATCCACCTTTTTAAATATTTAACCCAACTTTACTGCAGAAATTCTATGTTTGGATCAGGTTGGATTTTCAGAAAGAGAAATCGAGCGTCAGCTTTTGAGCTGGCTGCTGCAGAGGTTGTTCAGAGGCAGCATGAATCTGCCAGCAGAGGATTCCTCCATGTGGCCTTGCTAGAGGAAAATCAGGATTTGGGCACTGCTTTTCTGTCTGTTGGAAAGCCTTAGTTTTTTTTTTTTTTTTCCCCAGTGTTTAGTTTATTCCTGTTTACTTTCCTTATTCCTAATTACTTTATTCATGAGCCATGCAGTTTGCTAAGCTGAATTTGGGGAGGTGCAAAACAGTGGAGTGGAAAAGCGAACAAAGGAAAATGCTCCCGTTTGGAATTACTGCCTGTGGCTCCCTCTGGCAAGAGGGAGTTTTCCTTGGCAGAGACGGTCCAGATTCCTGACAGAGATCTCTGTTTAGGATTCACACGTGGAAAGGAGTGACCGTAGGATGAAATCACTTAGTTCTATCCTATACTTAGTGGAATTAGGAGTACGTGAGTGTGGAGACGAGTGATTTTAGTGCTGTCAAAGGGTGAAATTTCTCCCTCCTTTTTCCAACACGCAGATTACCTGATGGGCACCGTGCACCAAGCCAAAGGGCTGGAGTTCGACACGGTGCTGCTCTCGGATGACTTCGTGCAAGTGCCGGCCACCAGCGGGGACCCGCGGAGGGGCTCCCACTTCAGCATCGGTGAGAGAAACCCCCGGGATTTTCCCCTTCCCGGCCCTAGTGCTCGTGCAAGGGAGCTCCAGGAGTCCTTCCCAACGCACGAGGAGAAGCTGTGGAAGAATCGGGGAGCTGGGGGTGGTTTCTTCCTAAGCAAGCAGTGATGTTTCCTCCTTTCCTTCATCCCACCTGCAGGAATGTATCCCGAGGATGAGTGGAACCTGCTCTACGTGGCGGTGACGCGGGCCAAGAGGTGCCTGCTGATGTCCAAGTCGCTGGAAAACATTTTAGCGTTGGCTAAGGTGAGGACAAGGCCTCCGAGGTGAGCAAATCTGTGACGAGGGTCCCAATAGCTCCCATCCATTGGAAGGCGCCGCCGGAGCGCTCCAGAGCTCCCTGCGTGCCGCATTCCCGTGGGATCTCCGGGTAGGACAACCCTCCCAGGCAGGATGGGCTGCAGAGGAGTTAAAAAGGCAGCAGAAAAGATGGAATCAGCAAGTCTGTCCAGCTCAGATTGAAGGATTTGGAGCAGTGTTTGCGCGGCGAAACAGCGGCGTAGAGGAGGGTTTTACCAAGATATTTATCCTGTGTTTCTCTGCACAAGGAGTTTCCCAGCTCTTACTTCACTTCCTTCCTTGCGAGCTGCGGTTGGTTTCGGTTGTTTTGTTGTTACTGGGCTTTTGCTTTTCTCTTGGTGTCACGTTGGGAGTCGGTCCCGTGGTTAAACGAGGATGACCCGACTGCTGCCCAACGGGCTCCTGGCTGCAGCAGGAGGAGCGGGGCCAGCAGGGCCAGGGAGGGATCCTGCCCCTCTGCTCAGCCCTGGGGAGGCACCTGGAGCATCGGGGGCAGCTCTGGGCTCCCCAGGACCAGAGGGACGTGGAGCTGCCAGAGAGGGGCCAGCGCAGAGCCACCAAGATGCTGAAGGGACTGGAGCATCTGTGGTGTGAGGCAAGATGGAGCGAGC